TGAACCCAAGGAACACTGAACTTTACATCCCTAGTCCCCCATCCCACACTTTTTGGGGGGAGATTGGGCCTCACTAGGTTGCCCAGGCTGGTCTGTAACTTGTGAGCCTCTTGCCTCAGCTTCCCAAGTAGCTGGGGTTACAGATGTGCACGCTCACAGCCAGCTCTGAGTTTTTATTTAAGGGAGCTACATAGATACTCTTTTAGTCTGGATCTACTGATTTTGTGATGGTAAAGGGGTCCCAAGGGGATGTGGCTAGGAGGTAGCTGCGCATTCTGCTGTGGGCTTTAGGGTGCTGCTTGGGTAGCACAGAGACACACAACTGAAGGCTTGGCCTGTCTGTGACGTAAATACAGACTCAGGGGTGCAGAAGGCAATCCTAGACAGACCCAGGTGGGGCTTGAAGGCACGTGTCAGAAAAGTAAAAAACAACTGGAAAACAAGACTGACACCGAGGGATCTGGGTTGGGAAGACAAGCAGGAAAAGGCAGAGTACGAAGGTAAGGCCCAGGTGGCAGACATGGTAAAGAACAGGAAGAGGAAAGAGGAGTTTCAGGTAAGTATCCCTAGAGAAGGCAGGTGGGAGAGCCAAGGAGGCCAAGAACTTCACACCTGTGAAGGAAGCAGGAGCTGGAGGAGAGTATGGGGCACTTGGGAAGGACATCTCATCTGGCCTCACTACTCATGGGGCAGGCTTGCGCATGCTAATCCAGGAGCAGGAAGGGGAGGCTGGAGGGAGAGGGTGAAGACAGAGCCATGGGCTCTGGGTGGGTACGTGGGAGTGCAGCACTGGGCAGGTGGGTCCTAGGGAAGGAAACCTGAGAGGCAAAGAGGAGCCAGGGGAAATGGAAAGCTTAGTAGCAGAAAGTTGTCTTTTGTTTTCCTCAGCAAACCCTGGGAATACCGCCATGAAGGAAGTGAGGTCCCCAAAGACAGCAGCAGAGAACTGCGCAGGTGTTCAGCTTCCTTTCACATCACTGTAACCTCATTCCCAAGTCAGAACCAGGGGCAGCCCCATGAGCTGTGGCCTGCACCCTTGGGTGGGAGTACAGGCAGCCCAGGCCTTCCTGGCCTCTGCCCAAACCCCTCATCTCCCATTGGAGCCATCCTTGTGTCCCCTGGTCAATTTTAACTTAATTGCAATCACAGCAGTTTGTAGCATGGGCCTTTTTAGGCATTAGTGACTGGAAGAGTTTTCTATTACTTCACATTTTCCAAACCCACTTCACACAGATGGAATCTTTTGTAATCTTGTAAGGCCAAACATAGGAGGGAAACAGTGCCAGAGAGGTTGGGCCTAGAACTTGGTTTAGTGAGGCTGGAATAGCCTGATTTCTTCTGACATCTTGATAAATCTTTCTGCACCAACTTTGAGAGTTTCAACACAGAGGAATACTACAGCCATGCACATTGCATAGCCAGGCACTGTGTCCCTGTGCCACCCCCTCTGCTGGGCTCTTCTTCCTGTGGTCCCTACTCCAGTTCTCTGAGCTGCTTTCAGTACCCTCATTGTCATCAGAGATGAAACTGATGCCCAGGAAACCAGTGCCAGGGCTGGGCTCCAGTAGGATGTTGGCCTTTATTCCCTCCATTGCATCAAAGCATCTCCTAAACTTAATGTTTTTTACTGCTGCAGTTTTAATTTTAATATTACCTGTCTTCTGGGCACAAGTCTCCTTAGGGAATTGTCAAGCCCCAAGGCCCTGTTGAATCAGGGCCTTTGAAATTTTCAAACCAAATAAATACAGGGCAGATGGACAAACTACCTGTTTTGGCTCCTGTCTCTGTGACATCAACAAAGAGAAGAAGAAGTAATTTTATCGATGATTCAAGGCAGCCGCTAGACTGTGGGGCCAGAAAAGGAACACGGTATTGGCAGTTAGAACTGCAGCTGAGCGCTTCTTTGGCCCTTGCAAGCAGTGTCTCCCAGGAAGGGAAGACAGCCTTTACAAGTGCCAGCCAGGGCCAGGCTTTCTCAGGTGGCAGTGGGGGAGTGCTGAGAAAATAAGCATTATGTAGCTGGAGTATGGACAGCCACGATCTGACCGGGGCCTGTCTAACTATAGGTGCACTCTGCTCCTTTTCCACCTGTCTTCCCAAGTTGTCACAGTGTGGATACGTGACCACAGACTCAAATGTATACACACACACACACACACACACACACACCCCTTCTGCATTATTTTTAAAACCAACAAAAGCATGAAGGGAGCAGCTTTCAAGACAGAAATTGGGCAACAGCCGTACTCCAGTCCTGAACATCAGTGTGTGAGCCGGGTTTTATATCCAATTATAACTCATACTTTCCCAGCCCTGGCTTTGTAATTGTTGGGGGAGGAGGTCTTTGTCCTGACAAATAAATTCTACCAGGGCATGATACACATTTGCAGATGAGTCCACTCTGTGCTTTTGTATGTGTGCGTGGCCCTGGGCATTTCACCCAGGGCCTTTGCACTGAGCTATATGCTAGCCCTCCTTTATTTTCTGTTTTGCGTGAGAGTTTTATTAAATTGCTGAGTTGCTCAGGCTGGACTCAAACTTTCAATCTCCTATCTCGGCCTTCTGGAGTGCTAGAATCACGGGCATGTGCCACCACAACCAGCTAAAATGCGTTTTTATGCCGGGGTGAGGGAGTTAATAAATTCCAATGATGCAAGTCAAATATATATTTGAAATGAAACACAAATATTCATTTTCAAAACATGGAGAATCATAGTAAATTCTATATCACCAAGAGATTCGTGTTTGGTTTTGAGAAGTGGAGTCATAGTCTTCATTCAAGAAAATGAACACTGAGGCCTTTTTCTGTTTGCTAAAAGTAGGTGTGGTGAGAATTACATGAGATGACATAGGTGAAGTGCCTGGTCTAATGCCTGCGGAGAGGGCATTCCCACTAAATGGAGGCACTAATCATCATTGCTCGTAGTTGGAGGGTGTGAAGGACCTAGCAAGTTGGCTGTTCTCTCATGACAGTGACTGAGTACAGTGCTGCATTCGTGGGTGGGAGGGAGGCAGCGAGGAGGAGGTGCGCGTAAGTCCTGGCTGGTTCCCATGCTGTCCTGCCCCTGGCTGCCCACTGCCTTCAGCCAGGGCCCCTCGCACACCTGTGTGGGGGCTGCCTGGCTGTCTGGCTGGCTTGCTTTCTTCCCCCTCCAGTCAGTTTTTATTGGTATGTTTTAGATAAACATAGTGATCAGATTTATCATAGAAAATTTGTACCTTTACATGATATAACTCAGTTTTTTCCCCATTCTCCTGCTCCTCCCCTCCTCATATACAAAAGCTTTGTTTTCATTTTTTCCTTTTCTCATTTTTTTGCACTTCCGTTCTTTCCTCCCACCGCCCCCCTTGTTGTACTCCCCATTTGAACATTTTCTTCCTATTTCAGAATATCTTTTTTACCTTTTGGACCATATTTACACTTGTGGTTTCTTACACCAGAGCAATAATGCAGTATTTACCCTGCGTGTCCTATTTATTTCATGTAAGAGTGTGGTCACAGGTGCATCCATTTAGCTAGACATTCTCAAGCTTGTCCTTTATGGCAGACCAGTACTCCACTGTGTAAAAGCGTTACGTCTTTTTTATCCATTTAACAATCGATCGGTATTTGAGCTGTTGCCAAGATTTGGTTATTACAGACTAGTGCTGCTCGAAACATGGGTGTGCATATGTTGCTGTAGTATGATGCTTTTAATTCTTAAGGGAATATTTTTGTGGGGCTTTTCACTGGGTGGCCGAAGATCTTTAAGATGTTCCTTGAGGGCCAGGGATATAGCTCAGCAGCCTAAGTACCTGCCTGGCAAGCACAAGGTCCTTAGTTCAATTCCCAAAAAAATAAAAGTTCAGGATTGTGGCAAAAAATTTACTAATAGGGCTGGGGAGATAACTTGGAGGTCTAAGCACATGCCTGGCAGGCAGAAGGACCCGGGTTGAATCCCTGGTGCTGCATGCCATGCCAACCACCCAAACCAGGTGTGGTGGTATATGCCTGTAATCTCAGTGCTGGGGAGGCTAAGACAGGAGGATCACTACAAGTCTGAGCTGCGTAGCGTGACCCTGCACCAAATAAATAAATAAATGTATGTTATTAATAATATTGAAGGTTGATATGAATTAATGAGAGATCTCAGATGTCAGGGTAAGGAACTTTAGCATCAACTACATTTTCTCCATTCTCTGTCACGGTTCACCAAGGTACGAGCTAGGAGCACTGGGCCTTCACATAAGGGCTTTGCCTTGGTCCTCTTATATATCCCCAGCTAACCCCTACTGTAATAGGTTGTTCCCATTATCTCCAGATAGGAACCAGCCTTACTGATAGGAAAAGCCTAGGTAATTTGATTCTTTGAATTAGGATGATTAGACTATTGAAAACTAGATGAGATCGGGCACGTTCAGGGCGATATGGCTGTAGACTATTGAAAACTAGAGACAAGGCCCCCGAACAAGACTATAATAGGAACCTTCCCTTCTGCTTCCTTTGGTAAAATGAAAGATGTGAAGGGCCTACTAGGAAGGAATCCAGGGCATTCAAGATGCTTCTCTTGGTACAGTAGGCTTGGATTAAGATTTTACCCAACTCCAAGATAGAGGATGAATGTCATGTGCCTGGTGAAATCTGAGATTCCTCAGCTAGATTTTAATTTTGTTAGCCTAGGGCCCTGGAGTGCATCTATGACAGAATGAGTCATTGTGCTGGTTAAAACATGTATGCCCTGTCAGGTAATTCAAAGAGGGGATATGGTGGAATTAAGAATATTTTTGACAAAGAAATGTTGGGAAATATGGCCAGAGTTATGGGGTAAGTATTCCTTCTGATCTCCAGTGGTTACTGCATGGACAGCCACCTGCAGCCTCTGCCTTCTCCCACCTGGCAAAGATGTGCATGGCCAAAACTTTGCCTGGCTCCGCCTCCGTATTTACCTTCTAATGAGATGCCATGGTATATTTTGTATCCTAATTGGAATTCCTGTTGAAAATAACTTTGTGCTTCCTAGGAACTAGCCAGCTGTGGATGGAGTAAGAAGGAGAAACACAGTCTTGCCCCCAATGTCGTGGCCTTTACCCGGAGATTTAACCAGGTAAGCATAGTTCTTGCATGCGCCTGTGCAGATGGCACTGTGTTGTCCCGGTAGGCTGAAGCCCTCACCAGGGTTCAATCTGAGGCAGCTGACTCCAGGGGAAACCCCTCTTCTTAAACTACCCACTTTCATAGACTCTGATTCCATTATAGTCCATTTTCACAGAGTAGGTCGGACTGAACATGGCTTTGCCATGAGATGTCGCTCCAGGGGCTTTGACTCCACATCAGCTAAAGTTCCAGCACCTTGCAGTGCTCTGGGAGGTCCAGCCTCTGCTCCAACCTGGCCCCCCTCTCCAGGACTTGTATCCTGGCCTGCCGTCTCCCTGCTGCACCATATCTCTGGTCTGCCAGCTCCTTGCTTCTCCCATGTACTGTCCTCTCAGGCCGGAACTCTTCTTCCCTGTTCAGTGATCTTGGCTTGAGTGCTGCTTCCTTAGGGAACTTTTCCTGAGTCCCCAGCCTACGTGAGGTCTGCAGTCATCTGTCCTTTCTGCCTTCTACTCTGTGTGGTACTTTACTGACCCACTCTTGTTCTGTGTAACCTGTAATCTGTCTGTGCCTTTCTTGCCAGGATGTGAGCTCTGTGAGACCAAGTACCATGTCTGTCTTGTTTGTCACTGCATCCCCATCACTTTGCCTGGTGTCAGGCCTATATGTAACACCCTTAGTAAGTCAATGTGGGATGAATGAATGAGGTGCCAGGAGATACTTCTTGAACTGAACTTCTTTGGATCCAAACTCATAGCCCCTGTACTGTTCTGAACTGGCTTGGTCCATCTAGAAACTTTGCTACAGGGACGCAGAGGTTCTAATGATTGAATGTGTGGACCAGCTGAGGGATGGGGCTGCTGGTTTCCCAGCTAGAGCTGCCAGAGCATAGTTGTAGGTAGCAAGTGACCTGCAAGACTCCTTCTGCATAAGCCATAACCCTAAGCGGTGCTGCTGGCAGTTTTTCTTCTTGATTCTGATTTTTCTGGTTTCACATGAGGACAGTGGCCTAGAGGTTGCATAATGTGCTCGGCTGGCTCTCTGGGTGCTAGGGCTCATGTTCCCCTGGGCCCTTGGGTCCAGCTGGGCCTTCCCTCCTAGAAATGTCTGGCCCTGTGCATCACTGTTGCTGAACATCTCCAGTTCCCCGAGTGCAGCCGAAGCCTCGAAGAAGCACCAGCTTGCTTTTTGAAGATAAGGGCTCAAGTGGGTTTTATTGTTATTTGATGCAGCTCAGGGAAGGACTTGAGGGACTGGGGGCTGCACACCGTCTGCTTTGAAAAAAAATGTTTCAAGGCCTTTGCTTCTTTCCTCTTTCTTTTGAAATTTTTTTTCAGCTGGGCTTAGTCTTTTGTTAAAAAAAAAAACAAAAACAAAAAAAAACAAAACCAGAAGTGCACAAACTATCAGGGGATTCATAGTTTCCCTAACAAAACTATTTGACTGGGAGCCAACTCAGTCCCCACCTTTGACCAGTCACAGAGCTCCCAGAGGAGGAGCTGTTAGGGGATCTGATGTAATCTGCTTTGCATGCAGATGCCAGGTCAGCTTGGCAAAGGCAGTACAGCTTGTTCTGTGAACAATTGCATTGTGTCCAGCTCAGGCCAAATGGTGAAATGAGCCAGAAGTGAAGGCCCATTTTCTCAAGCAGAGTGCTCTGGGAAACGGTCCTCCAGCTGACCCGTCAGCTACCCTGACAGCCAGTAGCTCCTGGACATAGCCCTGGTAGCTCTGGTTTGAAAACTGGCCAGAGGCCAGCCTGATCGGCCGCTGGAACTGCTTTGCACAAGATGAGCTTATTCGCATCCCTTCCCAGCAGACTTTTCACATGTGAGACCAGGACTCCTCATCAGACTCCAGAAGAGAGAAAGGCGGCCGCTTACCTCTCAGAACCTCAGTGTCCTTATCTGTAACTGTGAAGATCCGTAGCAGTCACCTTGCACAGCTGCTACGAAGGGTACATGGAACGCGAAGAGCTTGCAGCGTCATGGCCTACACATGGTGTGCATCCAGATGTTTCAAGGGAAGAAAAGGAGAGCATGAAGGTCAGCTAATTACAGGGGATTTGAGGAACGTGTAATCAAAACAAAGGCAAGTGGGAAGTGTCCTGGCCAGTCCAGCTGCCTCTCCATGGGTCGGAGTCCCTTGGGATTCCTCCATAGAGTGGCTGGATGCCAGAGCTCAGCCAGGTTCGCTAAAGACCTGTTATGTGCCAGGCCTGTGTCTCTACTCCAGCGAGTTTACCATATAACCCAGAAGTTCTTCATCTCTGTTGGATCAAGGGTTCTTAGGAGAATCTGACAATATCACATAGGAACCTATTCTCAGAAAATCTTCACATGCATTTAACTTTGGGGGTTTTGTTGTGCCTTCAAGTGTTTGCAGAGGCACTGTAAGAGTCTCAGGATGAAAGAGACCTGGGTTTGAGTCTTAGCACCACGATTTATTAGCTGTGTAATCTTGGGCCGACTTGTGGTCTCAGTGAGCTAATTTTCCTCAGGGAGCATCTCAAGTTGTTTTTAAAGATTAAATGAGAAGTGTGGATGTAAAGAATATGGCCTAGTACTTGGCACCTAGGAAATGAATCGTGCTAACTTTTACAAAGGGAGAAGTGTTGAAGGAACTCTCAGGCCAGAGCAGGAGAAAGAGGCCTAAGCGCAGATGTGAGGTTGGGAACTGAGTCCCAAGAGTGCTGAACATTCTGTAAAAGATGAAGGGGGAACTCAGAGAAACAAAGTGCAACCAAGAGCCCAAGGACTGCTGCATTTGTGGATGGGCAGTGGGTAGGGGGCTATACAGGAAGCCAAGCAAGGGCCGCCAGGAACAAGAAGAGTAATCAGGAAGGGTAGTGTCTAGAATCCCTTTCGAGGTAAGAAATGCTGCAACTTGAGTCACCCAAGACAGGGCCAAAAAGGAGGCTTGGATCCTAGCAGCAAGGCTCTGCTGGTGACCTCAGCCAGTCTGTTGGGGACATGGTAGGCCAAGGGGTGGGAGGTGGAGATGATAGAGAGAGGAGGAGGATGAGTAGCCAGGAAGTGGTCAGATTTTCTTCTCTGGGCAAAGCCTTGAGGATGCTCATGTTTTAAATTGAAGTATTCAACTAGACCAGGAGGTTAAAGAAGAGAGAGAGGGATGACTGATTAAGTATGAGAGAAAGAGGTAGAGGCTGAGACCCAGGGCCCCTTCAGATGAGATGAAAGGTGCTGCTGCAGGCTGCCTTAGCTGTGGTGCAAGGAGGCCTGTGGCTATTCTTCTCCAGGGAAAGAGGAGATAGAGTGGGATCAGAAAATTGTGAGAAATCCACCTCACAGTAAGGGAGAGAGGTGGGTGTGGAAAGATGAAAGACTCTTGGGCAGCCACAGTGGCCCAGATGAAATAGATTGTACCTTTTAAAAGTTTCCCCAGAACATGTGGCCAGATGGCCTTCTCTAGTTGCCCATTGTAGGCTGGGACGAGGGGCATAGGCAGGTGATCCATCCATGCACACAGGCTGGCAAAGAAGAGTCTCTGGAAGGACCAAGAGCTAAAGAGCATGCTGAGTGTCTTAGTTACTTTTTATTTATTGCTGGGACCAATACCCAACGCTCAAAGTGAAGGAAGGAAAGGTTTATTTAGCTCACAGTTTGTGGAGGTTTCAGTTCATACTCTGCTGGTTACAAGGCAAACAGCAGTTCATGGCGGAAGAAAACGCTGAAGAGCAGGGGAGGAGCAGCAGCTGTGGTGTCCATCAAGCCTCTCTGTTCCTTCTACACTGACCGCGAAGACCAGCGCTCCACCGCGAAGATCATAGCTCCTCTGAAGACGGACTTCTCCACAGAAGTGGGGAGGGGCAGTGTCGGGAAGCCTTCCTCAGTTCCTTTATATACGCTTTTTGTGCTGAGTCACTCTGGGGCAGCCCATGGCCCTAGAGTTGAATCAATCGCACCCAGTGCCGGCCCAGTAGCGCCCCAGGTTGGGCCCTCCAGACAAGAACTGCTGGAGCCAATTCAGCCAAGTTGACACAATGTATCAACTACCATACTGAGTTGACAGTGATAGGAGCTATGTCACCTAAGAGGAAAAGGATCCTGACTTACTTATTTTTCCTGTTGCTGAGACAAAATACCCAACACCTAAAGTTAAAGGAAAATAGTTATTTTGGCCTACAGTTTGCAAAGGTTTCAGTCCTTAATCAGCTGACTCCAATGCAGGGAGGTATGGCAGAGGGGCATCACTGAGCTGGAAAAACAGTTGAGGGCGTGGAAGGCAGAGGCAGGAGGCAGCAGAAGCAGCAAGCAACAGCAGCATCCCTCTTTTTGTCCTTTATATTCTATTCAAGTTACACACCCTTAGGGAGGTAGCACTCACACCTGGGGCGGAGCTTTCCATTATCCACACCCAGGTCTTTGCCAAACCAGTGGACTGATTTAGGAATCACACACTCTTAATGTCAGCATCGTGCTTAAATTCAACGTCCTAGATCTAGGCCCATCTGAAAAGCCCCATCTATGTGACCACCTGAGGTTTTTTGGTGACATCTCGACAGAGGCTATAACAGATGCCAAGGAGAAGGGCTGCCAGGGACAGTAAGTGTTGAGAAAACAGACCTGCTCAGGAAATCAAGGAGAAGGTGAGGCTACACGAGTGTAGCCCAAAAACAGTGATCCAAATCCAGATCTATTACCCCTTTATACTTTTATCTTTTCCAAAATGTCATAGGAAAAAAAAAGAGCCATACGGGGCCCAGGAGATGGCTCAGTGGAATAAGCGCTTCCCTGGCAAGCGCAAGGGCCTGAGTTCAATCCCCGGTTCTGCAAAAAAAAGGAAAGAAAAGAGCCATACATACACATGTAGCCTTTTCAGACTGGCCACCTCCTCTTGATTATGCATTTATGATTCATCTCTGTGTATTTGGCTTGATAACTCATTCCATTTTTTTAAAAAGAGAAATCCATTGTATGGATTTGGCATTATTGGATTATCCATCCCTTTACTGAAGGACATCTGGGTTACTTCCATTGTTTAACAGCT